TGGGAACCCCAGGGCCCACCCGGGCCTGGAGGTTCTCTCCCGGGAAGGGCTGGCGGAAGGGCTGGCGGCTGTGCCCGCCTTGTGTCCCCCGCAGGGAAGCCCTGGACCCCACACGACTCTATGGGAAGAGAAGTCGTGAACCCACTCGACTCTCCAGGGTGACAAAACAACGGCTACGGTGAAAAAAATTGTAAAGCCTGTCCCCTGTGYACCTGCAGCCCCAGGCGAAAGCCCCCTGCCCAGTTAAGCCCTGGAAGTGATCAGCGTGCGTCGCGAACACCGTGTCCTAAAAACTTGAAAGAGGAGGGTCTCTGGAAAACCAGCCAAAACCTAAACGGCCGGGGCGGTGGCCCACGCAGCTCTAATCCCAGCTGCCCAGGAGGCTGAAGCAGGAGCATTGCAAGTTTCAGGCCAGCCTCAGCAACTTAACGTGGCCTTGTCTCAAAATAAAAAAATAAAAAGGTCTGGAGATGTGGCTCAATGCTTAAGCACCCCTGGGTTCAATCCCCAGTACCAAAACACCACCAACAACAAAAAACCTAAATGGAAGGGACCCTGCCTAGTAATCCTGGCCACCTCCACAGTTGTTAAGGTCACATAAATCAGCAGCCGCATACACCACTCAAAGAGTGAAGATAGCTCCTGCTTCTCCTGAGTCAGGACTGGATTTGCAGACCCCCTTCAGTGAGCCAATTGAGGACCTCAAGCTACTCTTTAGTACAATCACTTAAGGATTAGCTGAGTATTTTAATAAGGTAATAACTATTTTGTTTTATCTATAACCAAACTTACTCATTGTCTCTGCAATGCTGACCATAAAACCTTCCAACCAAGGTGTAGGGATCTCCTTCCGAGGACTGAACCTCACCCTTTGGTCAGTAATTGGCTCAAGTCAGCCTCTAAGAGATCTTTAGATCTAACATTTGTTTAAAACTTTACAATTGATGGGGCTGGGGGTGTGGCTCAAGCGGTAGCGCGCTCGCCTGGCATGCATGCGTGCGGCCCGGGTTCGATCCTCAGCACCACATACCAACAAAGATGTTGTGTCCGAGAACTAAAAAATAAATATTAAAAATTCAAAAAAAAAAAAACTTTACAATTGATCCCATATAATGCCTGACCCGAAATGCAGACCAGAGTTGTGCCTCTGGATGTGATCATGCGATGGAAATGTGTCATAAAAGGCCAGGTACTCCAGGGGTTGGAAAAACTACACTAGGCAAAGGACTTGCATCAATATTAGGACTGAAATGCATTAATGTGGGTGATTTAGCTTGAGAAGGGTAGTTATATAATGACTGATGAAGAATATGATTGTCCCATTTTAGATGAAGAGAGAATAGTTGATGTGTTAGAAAACCAAATGAGAGAAGGTGAAACTGTTGTAGGGATAGATGAGGCAAGGCACCAAAGATAGCAGGAAACAGTTTTATTTGGCTGCAGCCATGTTCAGAGGGCACAGCTTTTGCTGTAATCAGTTAATCCCCTGAACCCTGAGTTCATGTAGTTTCAGAGTTTTACACCCAGCATGTAAGGGGAGGGGTTCAGAAGTTCACAGTCTGCAGAAGTCCCCATAAAAGCAGCTTTTTCTTTCACTGTTTTGGGCAAGTTAACCCTTCAAGGACAACACTTGAGAATAGGAGAGCTTCTTCTCCCCTCTCTYTCCTCCCCCTGCCAGCTATTACCATGGAGCCCAACTGGCAACTTCTCTTATCTTAAAAATGTAGACATATCTGTGAAGTCCAGCTCAAGGCCAGAGGCCTTGTTTGCACATTTCTACAAAGTACTATACTGGATACGTTTGAAAAACTAGTAAGGGGTGTCCAGAACCTGGAGTGCTGGTATCTTCTCGGCCAGTGGCCAAGTAAACAGGGCGACATGCAAATAGGAAGTTTATCTACATTGGCCTCTTTTGCAGAGACTCTTTTGCTGACAGTCCTAAAATCAGCCATGGTGAAGATTTCTGGAGAAGACAAGACTTTTCTGTGGAGAAAGGGGGTGCCACTTTAAAACTATTGTTGATTACCATAGTTGTGATTTCTTCCTTGGACACTGGTTTCACATAGTTTTTGTGCTGAGARCAGATAACAGTTTATTGTACAAAAGACTTGAAACAAGGGTTTATGTGGTGAGGAGAAATTAAAAGATAACATTCAGTGTGAGATTTTTCAAGTTCTCTGTGAAGAAGCCATAGCATCCTACAGAAGAAATTGTGCATCAACTGTCCAGCAATAAACTAGAACTAGAATAATATAGATTACATCTTGAAATGGATTGAGCAGTGGGTTAGAGATAATAGCACTTGATTGGCCACTTTACAGTCACTCTTATTGATTTCTTTCTGTCCACTTCATAGAAATTGCCCACATACCAGTAACTATTAAAATCATGTTGCAGTCCTAGCAGGTGCACATGCCTGGGTCTCTTTTTCTCTCCATGAAAGCTAAACAATCTCAAGTATAATGAACATAATATTAAAAGTAAAAATTGTCATTTAATGCTTTAGTTACTAAATAAATATGACCAAAGAGGTAGATATCTTTTATGCTTATTATAGAAGATACAGATGATTTATTAAAGTAAAAAGTAAAGCAAAAAAGAAAAACTTTACACCTTACCCACTGTCTTTTAAATTTGTCTAACTCAGGGTTGGCCAAGGACTGCTGGATTTACCTGTCTGCAGCTCCACAGATAATATTGCCATTCCAGGCCATGTGTATCCATCCTAAATATCAAGGTGGTCATCCATTCCAGCTAATAACTTTTGATGATTTATACTAATTTAAAATCACAGGTACTACTAAACACAATGACTGCAAGGGCAATTCAACTCCTTCAGTACTAAGACTTCATCTTGCCTGCCAATATAGGGGCTTATTACAACCCAAATGAGGCTCAAGTTCCAGGCGCCCCTCTATCTGGAGGGAGCAGAGGGCACAACCAGGGGAAATTAGACGACCATTTTTGCAACCACACCTTAATAATTACCCCCCTCAAACAACCACGCTAATTATGCAGAGGCCCAATATACCCCCTTTAAACAAACAGTACAGTCTTCTGAAAACCAACCTCGAAAAGTATTAATTATTAAACAGAAACTTAGGCTACAGCCAGGACAGACTTTCTGCTTGCACAGCATCTTCCCTTGGGAGACTTGTTCCAACCCTATCCCTGCAGAATGCTTGCTAATCCTCGGATATGAAAACTTGGCTGTGGAGTCTCATTGACATAAAAAGAAATTTCTTGGGCTGGGGATTTAGCTCAGTTGGTAGAGTGCTTTCCTTGCATGTACAAGGCCAAGGGTTTGATCCTCATCACCAGGAAAAAAAAGACCCTAGGGGCAACCCTAGACCAGTCCCATGGTCCCTTCCAGCCTCTGACAGGGGCTACATTAACTGGAACCCTATTCACATGGGGATTTGAAAATAAAAAAAAACTAACTTACATGTTCACTATTGAAACTAGTTTCTTTGTTGAACAAATTCCTACTTGTGCCTACCAGCTCACTGGACAGGAACGTGTACACTAGTCTATCTAGCATAGCCCCTAGTAATAAGTCTCTAATCACGCCTTTCACATCATCCATTAGAGCTAAGCAGGCTATACAACTAATTCCTTTCCTGGTGGGATTAGGAATAACTGCTGGAGTGGGTACAGAGATAGGAGAACAATCTTCTCCCCCTCCTATTTTCAGGTTTTGTCTGAAGATCTAATAGCCTCAGGGGCAGAGAGCAAGCCAGGCAAGTGGGTGGCAAAGGCCTTCAGGACAAGGAGAGGGGGAGCCCGCCTGGGCTCAGGAGGAGAGTGGTGGGGGTGCGTGTGTGCATGGTGTTGCACAGGATAAGTGCACTCCAGCTCTTCCCGTGTCCTAAAGCCTTTGGATCCTCCTCATTACCCCACAGCAGCTCTGGAAGTTGTCTCATTGAATTTGGGCCAACATGGAGTCCAGTTATCAGCCAGACTACTAAACACACTTGATCTTCAAGCTGCAAGAGCTAATAACTATGTCTCGACTTGTAAGTTATCCCATATGAATCAAGAGGATCCAGGGATGGAAACTGTGATGCACACCTGCAACTCCAGCTACATGGGAGCTGAGGTGGAAAAGTCACAAGTTCAAGGCCAGCCTCAGCAACCTAGCAAGACTTGGTCTCAAAATAAAAGCAGCTGGGGGTGGGGGAGTGTATCCCAATGGTAGTGCTTGCCTAGCATGTTCAAGGTCCTAAGTTCACTCCCCAGAACTGGGAGGGAAATAATAGTTGATCCTGGCTCTTATGGCTTGGATATGAGGCATCCCCCAAAAGCCTCTGTGCAGGAATTCCCTGTGCAGGAATACTCAGAAGCAAAGTGACAAATTATGAGAGCGGCAGCCTAATGACAAGCTGATTAACGGGCCCATGTTGTATCCTGTCTTCTTTGGTAAATACCCTTAGATGTCACATTTATCCCCCAGTTTATGCTAATTACWGGAGTGAGGCTTTGCAGCTCTACTGAGGTGTGATTGGGGTCCTCCAGAATCAGCTTTTACACTCATCTACCCAGAGCAACAGGCTCAGCAGAGGTCTAGGGGTTGGGGAAGGCTGGCTGTAGGTCATGGGGCCCTCACAAGGCACCTACCATGGGTGGCCTACGTGACAGTCGGCTAGTTACTGGGGAACTTGGGCAGCCTAGGTAGTGTCCACAGCTGTRTCACCAGCAGAGGCTGGAGACACAGGTTTGAGCTGAGTGTCCTGGGTAACAGGTGGGACTTGATGGAGAAGTTGCAGCCCCCAGGTTACAGAGAACCCAAGTAACTCACAGGGTCCCCCACCTCTGGGTCACCGTGGGGTGTGGCTCATGAGGGCAGGAGAGAACTCCACATTTCTTCTCAGAAAAGGACCCTAGTGCTGTGCAYATCGATCACCAGTTATCCATTAATAGTACTATTGCTCAAGCCATGGTGGCTTCCTATAAGGTTCATCCTGGTCCCCAGTCCCAAAGCCTCTGTCCCTGCCTTTTGGGAAAGACAAACAAGGGAAGAGGTCAGTGYCCCAAGCCACCTGCCACTCTATACAACACCAACACTCGTAGGCAGTGGAGTGCGGGGTCACCACCATGTCTGTGCTGGTGGCCTTCCTGCTGCTCTGGGGTAAGGTGTTGGGGTCTGGGGTACCCTGGGACAGGGCTATGTGAATGGAGCATCATGGGTGCTGTCTCTACAGGTTTCACCCTGGACCCAGCAACCAAGGCAGCCGTGGGTAAGTGYAGGGCTGGGGCCTGGGGGACAGTGGGCCCACGAACTGTGGGGAGCCCCTGTTCCCCAGCACCAAGTTGACCTAACGTCCCTGCCCCAGTATTTGAGACCAAACCCAGCCTGTGGGCAGAGCCAGAATCGCTGCTGGAACCCTGGGCCAACGTGACCCTGAGGTGCCAGGCCCGCCTGGCGACCCTGGACTTCCAGCTGCTCAAGGATGGGGTGATCCAGGAGCTTGTGCACCTGAGTACACCCACCATGGAGCACCAGTTCCTGCTGGGAGCAGTGACCAGTGACAACCAGGGCCTCTACCGCTGCCGCTCAAGTTTTAGCGATGGACGATGGACCGCACTGAGCAACCTCCTGGAAGTGACAGGGACAGGTGTGCAGGGCTGAGGATGGAGTCCAGGAGGCAGTGGGGCGGAAGCTGATGGGCAGTCTCCCTGCAAGTCACYTGGCTTCTGAGCCTGCTTCCCATCTGTCCAGCGGGGAGGACGTTTGTACCCTCCCCAGAGGGCTCAGAATAAATGGCTGAATCCCCAGAGAGTGCGCRGGGCCCACAGTGAGTCCCTCCAGGCTTGCTTTTGCCTCCCTTAAAAATATGCTCCACCTACTGTGTCCCTCCCATTTTCAGAGTATGGGGTCCAGGTACAGGTGAGCCACCCTGGTCAAGTCATGCAGAACCACTTACCCACCCTGCCTCTTCCACAGAGCCCTTGCCCCCACCTAGGCTCTCCACGGACCCGGTGCCCTGGATCACACCCGGCCTGAACACCACTCTGCTGTGTCACGGGGGGCTGTTGGGTGTCACCTTCCTGCTGAGGCGGGAAGGCGACGATGAATTTTTGGAGKTGGCTGAGGCCGGGAAGGGCAGAGAGGTCACTTTCTCAGTCCATCGGGCCGGCAATTACAGCTGCAGCTACCGGACCCACACCGCAGGTGACCCCTCTGAGCCCAGCGCCACTGTGAGCATCGAGGAGATGAGTGAGTGTTGACCCCCCAACACTGAGACCCCGCGCGGGGCGTGGGAATTCAGAGAAGGAAGGTTGCTCCTGAGGCTGCTGGGCAGACTGGCGCCACCGCAGCCACCTCTCTGCCTCGCAGCCACGCCGCCGCCGCCAAGTTTAAATGCACAGTTCGCCGAGGTCCTGCGCCCCGGCGACCGCGCGACCCTCATCTGCGTGGCGCCCCTGGGCGGCGTTCACTTCCAGCTGCGGCGGCGCGGAGAGGAGTTGCTGGTCCCCAGGAGCAGCACCAGCCCGGACCGCGTCTTCTTCCACCTGAACCCGGCGGACACAGGGGACAGCGGTCCCTACACCTGCAGCTACCGGCTGCGCTCCGAGGAAGCCGCCTGGTCCGCGGACAGCGCGCCCACGGAGCTGGTGTGGAGCGACCGTGAGTCAGGCGMCCGGCAGGGGCGTGGGCGGCGGGCGCACGTGGCCCTCCGGGAGGCCGAGGGAGAGGTGGGACCTGCGGAAGCGCCTTGCAGAAGGGTCCACGCGGCGACATCCAGGCCCCGCTTGGAATGACTGGGTCAGGCGGCGGGTGTGGCACGAGCCATCTGTCCCGGGGCCAGGGAGGGCGGCGGGCGGCGGGCGGCGGGCGGCGGGCAACGAGCCCCGGGGCCGCAAGTCCAGGCTCGCTGAGGCTCACACCGTGGGCACTGGACCGCGAGCCCCGCGTGAGCGAGTTCGTGGGCGCCGCAGACCCCGCGGTGCCAGCCCCGGACCGAGGGCCGTCGGGCCCCCGGCGCCAAGCCGCCTCCCGGGAGCCGGTGTTCCTGGCCTGGGAAGCGCTGTGCGCTTGGAGGCARGCGGTCCTTCGCGCGGCGGGATGTCTATAGCGGGAGCTGGGTCCCGGCAAAGGCAGGGACAGCTSGAGGCCCAGCCGCCCTCGGCCAGGTCAGCCTCCTTCTCTTCCACAGAGACGCTGCCCGCGCCGGTGCTCGTGGTGGAGCCGGAGGGCACCAGCCCTGCCACGGGCTCGCTCGTGCGGCTGCGGTGCCGCGGGCCCCGGGCTGGGCTGCGCTTCGCGCTGAATCGCGAGGGCGCGGGCGGGCAGCGCCTGAGTGGCCTGCTGAGCCCCGCGGGGCCAGAGGCCGTCTTCGAGCTGCGGGAGGTGTCAGCCGCGGACACGGCCAACTATAGCTGCATCTACGTGGACCCGACGCCGCCCTTCGCGGGCTCGGCACCCAGCGCGCCTCTGGAACTGCGCGTAGACGGTGAGCCTGGCGCGGGCAGGGCGTCTGCGTGACGCTCAGCCTCCCTCCCCGGGGGTCCCGCAGCGCCTCCAGTTCTGGCCTGATTCCCTCGAGTGCGAGCCGTGGGCTCCAGGCGGTGCTTGACCGGGGCCCGGGGGCCAGAGCCAGGTGTGCCATTCAAAGCCCTTTTCGGGGCCGCGCCTCCGCAGGCGGGGTCCAGGGGTGATTCTCCCGAGCTCCGGGGTTCCACCCCCGCACCCCTCATTGAGGTCTCCTCGGGAGGAGGCGGGCCCGAGACCGCGCCCTGCCGCCTGACCCTTGGGCCGGACACCGCGGGGAACGCCATTTCCTGGATGGCTTCTTCCCTTCCATGACGCTGGGGGTCCCCACGGAACCTCGGGGAGGCCGGGCCTGGGGCTCCCGTCGTCCTGGCGGACGTGACGCAGAGGCGAGATACAGACGTGACAGCGCGACGGCTGGGTCGGGGGCAGGGAGTAGAGAGGCAGCCCGCCTCGGGCACCAGGGTCTCGGGAGCGGCCAGGCCTCACTGCTCCCTGCGCGCAGGGCCGCTTCCCCGGCCGCGGCTCCGAGCCCTGTGGAGCGGGCGGGTGCCCGCGGGCCGCGACGCCGTCCTGCGCTGCGAGAGTCACGTGCCAGACGTCGCCTTCGAACTGCTGCGCGCGGGCGAGGAGGAGCCCTCGGTTAGGCTCCGCACGGAGGGCCACTCGGCCGACCTGGTGCTGGAATTCGTGGGGCCCCAGCACGCGGGCAACTACAGCTGCCGCTACCACCCCTGGGGGGCCGGCTCCTTCCCGTCGGGGCTCAGCGACCCGGTGGAGCTCCTGGTGGCGGGTAAGCACCGGGCATGAGGCCCGCGGGGCACCCGAGGGGGCGAGGCGGGCCACCTACCACGCCCTCCCTTCCCAAGGGGTGTCCCGGGCAGGGGGCCCAGGCCTGGCTCCTGTCTCACTTCTGGGGTCTTACTGCCTAGGACGCTGATTCCGCAACCCTCCTGCTGCAGCTGGAGGCCACACCCTGGGAGGCTGGCAGCCTGTCCCYCATTTCTCCTAGAAGTTAATAAATGTCAACAATGTTTAAAACGTGTCTTTGTCAATAGGTTCAGGGAGCTGTTCTTTCAGAATTGAGATCCGTGTTCTGAAAAGTGGATGGGCTCTGGATTGGATCCCAAAGTCCCTTTCTTTTTTCTAATATTTATTTTTAGTTGTAGTTGCATACCATATCTTTATTTGTTTATTTTTATGTGGTGCTGAAGATCGARCCCAGGGCCTCGCGCATGCTAGGCAAGCGCTCTACCGCTGAGCCACAACCCAGGACCCCCCTAAATGCCTTTCTTCTGCCTCCTCCACCAAGCTGCCTCCTATTCCCCAGGCACCTCTGCTCCGCCTGGCAGGTAGCCTGTCTCCAGACCTCCCAACCCTGCTTTGACAGGGGCAGTCCCCACACCAGGCTGCATTCTGTGGTCTCCTCCTCCAAGTCTGATGGTGGTCCTGGATGGTGGCAGAGCTGTGTAAGCCGCTGGATTTTGGTCTTCCGCTCTCCCACAGCTCTGACAACCCCGTGGACCACTGCTTGTCCCTGCCTAGAGCTGGTTGGTGAGGTCCTGGCACACAGTAGGTGCGTTAGCATCATTAAGTAATGATAAAGTGTTCCGTGATGCCTACAAATGACTATGTCTTCCATGAATGATGTGAGCTCTTTCTCTAGCTGGGGCCTTAATTTATATATATATATATA